GCGTGTCTATAAAAGTTGAGCAGATCTTTCTTTTACTGAGCCCTCATTTTTCGTACGCGCTGAGAGACCCCACCATATATATTTATATTATATATATATATATATATATATATATATATATATATATATATATATATATTATATTATATTTTTTATATACAAATTTAATCATTACAAAGATGCAATCTTGTTTCTGTGCATTTAGTTGCACCTCGACTGGTGCGAACCAAAAATGGTTCTGAGCAATTCTGTTTTTGGGAAAAAGAGAGAAACATTTTAAAAGGGTAAGTATAGGAGTAAAGAAAAGATAGATAAAGAAAAACGGTGACAGAGTAAGACAATAGTGCTTGTTGAAGTCATTTAAATCCCATTTAAGACCTTTAAACCCCTGAAGATAGTCTTAGATGAGATTGAAAGTACTTGGGAAAATAAAAACTATTCGAAAGAAAATTTTGATATTTTTCTCACTCAATTTTCTAAAAACATAATCCGCGAACTTGAAAGTATCACAGCGAAAACTAAACGACATGATATGCCTAGATTATTTAACCAAACCTGTTTGAACATATATATATATATATATATATATATATATATAAGAAATATAGTTTTAAGATGTGCTATATTTATGGGCTAAAGTGCTCAATATCAGAGATAGAGCGCGGGCAAATATAAAAGTGAACACTCGTGATGATTGCATCTAGCATGAAACAGACTGTCGCCATCTTAAGGTCTTGGAGGCGGTTGTTATATATATGGGTAAAGTGTTGCGACAGAGTTACAGTTTATACTTTTGTCGTTAGTTCAATTATACAATGGACCCCTAACAATGGATTAGTTGTTGTTGCACTCACATTGTTTTATTATGCTTTTACTGTTATTCTATTGTATTGTTGGTAGTAAATGCTTCGACGGTCTCTCATTTCAGATGTCTGTTCTCAAACGTAATTGAAGCCGTCAAACTGCAGCTGTTATAAATATAATGGTGACTGCTCTAAACGAAGGTCAATATATGATGCTTTATACAGTTGTATGCAGACGTTTTTGTGAGGAACCAATCTCGCCAAATAATCTATTCGAATTGCTTTTATTACTTTCCCATTTTTATAACTTCTTCTTTCTAATTCTCATTGCAGATGTTCGAGATAATTAATATTTCTCAACATTATATGTTTTTTATTCTCGTTTTTTTTTAAATATGCGATGAAAATAAAAACCATCTTATTACTAAAAACCGCCAGCAATAACATAAAATATGTGTGTGTGCGCCTGTGTTAATTCGTGAATTGTTTGATGGTGATGGCAAAAACGAACACTTAAATGATTTAAGAAAGAATGAAATATAACATAATATCATTTGATCGAAAACAAGACGTCCTGGGTATGACGATAAACTTACACGCGGCAGCAAGGGCTCTGATTGAGAGGTTTTGAAGAACATGAAATCACATGCGAATTGATGTTGTTCCAAGGTCCACACTGACACAGGTTGATAACACCTGTTAGGGTTCTAGCTATGGGTAAATAATTAACCCCAAAACTGGGGTCCAAACATTATGAAAATGCATAATAGATGTTTATAGTAAAAATGCCATCAATACATTTTAGAAAGAAATACCTGCAATACATTTTTGAAAAAAAGGGAAATATTACCAGCAATACTTAAAAAAAATTACTAGTAATATATTTTAGAAAAAATATTTATTACCAGCAATGCATTTAAATATATATATATATATATATATATATATATATATATATATATATATATATATATATCAGCAATATATTTGAAAAGATATCACCTGCAATATATTTTTAAATAAATATATATTACTAGCAATACGTTTTTGAGAGAATATATATATATATATATATATATATATATATATATATATATATATATATATATATATATATATATATATATATATATATATATATATATATATATATATATATATACATGGTTATTCAAAAAGAATGAATCGATTTCATTACGCAATATTTTAATAAAGAAAAGCAATAGAAAACTCCAGCCAAGTCACAAGTATTCTACTCACAATCAATTTTTATTTCCTGTCTTAAAAGTGTTCAATGTGGCCACCACCTGCAGCACGGGCAACATCAATGCGATAAGAGAATTCCTCCCAGACACGTATCAACATACGTTGTTGCTATTCAATGTTATAGGTAATCGCGGTTAGTGGGTATCGGTAGCACATAAACGCGATCTTTTACATATCTCCACAAGAGAAAAATCACACACGGTGAGGTCTGGAGATCGAGAAGAACAAGCACAAAGGGCAAGGTCTTGGTAAGTGTCTGAACGAAGCGTAGTCTGTAAGGTTTCAAATATAGACGTCTTCATAGCACACGCCAGAAAGTGGATTGAGAGATCACAAGCTAACGGCTAGATAGATTTGTGGATTCTCTCAAATGTAGCAAGGAATCTCGCCACATGTTCTTCCGAATTCCGGTGATAAACAAACTGAACCACGCCGGAGATATGACGCAACTACAGCGCTTCTGTAGCAGCCATTCAAAACTTAGAAATCTCCTCTTTCAAATGATCAATGACTAATTCAATGACGATGCTTGTGAACTGAAGCAATGCTTCATGAAATCAGTTCATGCTTTTTTAATAACTCTGTATTACAAGTAATAGATGTTTGTAAAAGAAATTATTAATGTTTCCAAGAAAATAACATTTCGGTATTAAATGACCCATAAAGAGTTGATATGCCGCAAAACAAACAAACAAACGAAAATAAATGTGTAGTACGTGATGCAGACCATAAAATACCAGATGGTCTGAACCGAAACAAATGTCAATGAGAAACCTTTTTTTTATCGTAGGAGAGGTTGAGCTGAGATGATCTCATTATGTACTGGGTTCATTCCAGATGCTAGACATTGCCCTCGATGTTGCACCCGATCGTCAAATAAGCCAAATATACCATCAGTGGTCTGAAAATGAAATATGCACACTGGTATAAACATCACCCAGCAGAGTTTATTGAAATAGAATTCATAATAATTCTATGCTATTACACCACCTTTACATACACGAAGATTAGATCAAATAGACCGGACATAATTATCAAAAAAACAAAAAGAAAAAAAAATTGCGTACTAATTGATATGGTTTGCCCAGTGGACTCTAACATAGCAACGAAGGAAAAATTATCGAAGTATAAAAACCTGGAAATCGAAATAGGAAAATGTGGACATTGAAGACAAGAATAATAGAAGTCATATCAGGTGTGCTTGGAATGATAAAAAGGAACACAATAACACATTGAAAAAAATCTCCGGAAATCCCAGTTTTGAGAGAAATATGAGAAATCGTCTTCACATGTACAGCCCGTATACAAAGAGGAACATTGTCCATGTAATGCTAGTGATGTTATTGAAGGTAGAAAAACAAATCATCAAATGTACACACTGCTTTAGGTTTTCCCACAAATTTGGTAGGTAGTTTGACCATAGCAGAAATCGAGATATAATGATGGTGATGATAATAATAATGATTTTAGTATTAATAAATGACTTTCTATTATTATTTGATTTGATATCCTCTCCTGTCCTTAGATGTTTCGGCTGGATGATGATCCTAACACCTCAACTCGTACCTGCAGATAAGAGACACAACACATTCATCAGCACATGAGCTCTTCCAAGCATGCTGTTAGCTATGACTCTCAATGATGCCAGGTATTCCCATGGCATCCTGCTTGGCAAAAAGAGTTCGGAAAATAAACCCGAGTACGCTATGCACAAAACGGAAAATTTGAGTTCCAGCTTGGTATGTTTCTTTTATTTACTCTGTCAGGTCTTCGTACTTCTGTAGTTTTGCCGGCTCCAATTTCACGATGTTCTTCTCCCAAGATACCACAACGTCTATCAGGATTCATTCATAACTGATCTTGTGCATATGTTATGTGTTATCCCGTGTGTTATCAGAGCGATTGATCTCTAATCGCATGTCAGTCAAAATAGTCATATTCTTATAAGATTCACGTGACCATTCTCGACTTGTGAATGATGACAACATAATTTTTTTCCTGCACCACCTGCAAAAGACTAGACCATCTGTTCTATCAACAGCTTACTTCATATAATTTGTTATTAAAGCCTGCACTTGGGTTGTACTATAATTCCTTCAGTTTTCTTCTTCAAGATCTCGTTCTTGAGCCGCCTTCAAGTTTCAGGATCTGTTAACTGATGTTAGTAGGGCCCGTCCAACAATCAAAACGGAGAGGCCGCTGTATTCTGCCCATTGGACAAAATCAAGAGGCTCTCTCGTTAAGGGAGTGGGAAAGTGAAAATATAGATGAAAAAAGGGGAAAATATAAAGCTGACCCAGTCGAGATAAAAAGGGGGGCCAAAACAAACTGGGGAGGTTGGGAATCTCGACTCTTGTGTTTTTTGAGCATTGACTTTTCCCATCATAAATTATCTTCTCATAATCATTCAAAAATTAAATTTTCACCATTTAACTTGCATCTACAAAGCTTCTTTTCTATTTTTTTTTAATCAGGTTCAAAGCCAAGTAAGGCAATAAAGCCACTAAGGCACAATGGGTTACTGGATGTGGAAGAATTAGAAAGAGAAATATTGCAGTGAGAACAAGAGAAGAGAAATCAGGAGGTCAGTAGATAGCGATTTATAATGCATATTAACTAATTTTTCACACTTAAATATATTGTCTCTTTTGGTGAATGATAAACTATTTTAAATGTGGTTGTTTTTTTTTGTTTGTTTGTTTTTTGTATAACAGCTTCGATTATTCTGAGATTGTATTTGTAGTGACAATACTCAATTAAAAACAAAGCAAAAAATGAATATTTTGCTGTTTATTCACAACTTTGTTTTGGATCTGAAAAAATATTCATAATTAGGAAATATGCAATAAAAGTTAAACAAACATTCCATGTCGATTTAATTTAACAAAACATGTTTAAAATGAAGTCTCACGGCTTAAACGTATACTACACTGACACAGATATATATATAGATATATAGATATATATATAGATATAGATAGATAGATAGATAGATAGATAGATAGATAGATAGATAGATAGATAGATATCTCCAAATGAGAGAAAGAACGGATGGAGTAAAAATCCACAGTTTGTAGCATTTATTTTTTTAAAAAATAATGCTCAATAAAAAAAATAGAGCAAAAATTATTATATTTTTATTACAATAAAATACAATAGAAACATTTTACATCGCTACACAAATTTTTACCTCTTTTAGAAAAGAGTAAATCATTTTATCACAAGTTATCAGCCATCGCCTAAAGAAGTACAATATTAGTACTGAAACATTAAAGTTTTTGTGTAGCGATGTAAAATGTTTTATTGTAATTTCTTGCAATAAAAATATTATAATATATATATTTCTGTGGGAGTGCGTGAGTGTGTTATCATACTATATTAATACATAAACAGGCATGTATATATTACGGAAATATGAGGAAATGAAAAAAACTATTAAGGTTTGAGGAAAATAAAAGAGCAAGAATTAAGAACACTGAAGATAACGATTGACATTTATTTAAAATTTGGAAGAACACAGCCTGATATTCACAAACGAAATGTGCGATGGAAGAAACTGTTAGCATAGAATGTTCGCTAGCATCTAGTCATTTGAACTGTAAAATGGTGTGACCATTCCTCCAATCTAGTACTGCACTTAAATTCTTAAAGTCTAGGTAGCGTAGAGGAAAGTTCATCAGACCAATTAACATTAAAGTAGTTATAGAATAGACACAGAGAAGGTACAGAGGTGGAAAAGAGACTAGAACCGTGATGCAAGGTCAAAGATATGGTTAAATGGTTTCACCCATAAAGATACAGGGATGTGATGCTTTAACTTTATACTTTTTGATGTTCAGTGTATCGAGATGTTTAACTTATCCGATATCATTTAAGTTACTTATAGCTTTTATTTTCATTTATAGATTTTATCAATATTGTTACACGTTATATTTTTGCTCTATTCTTATATGACACTCACAGGTAGTCTACCTGAAGCCATCGCTAAAATCATTAATAGTTTGAAGAAAATATTTATTGTTTTTTTTTTCATTTTTTTCATTCGATTGCACATGTTGTGATTCGACTCCTCATTATTAATGTCCTATATAGATTTGTATACACACACACACGCACACGCACACACACGCACACACACACATATATATATATATATGTGTATATATATATGTGTGTGTGTGTGTGTGTGTGTGTGTGTGTGTGTGTGTGCTTTTTATTTTATTTATCCTCCCACCGCGATGATGGTACGTTTTACACAAATTAACAGGAAGTCCTGTACTCGTACATGTGAATAGCGCCAGAAAATTCCAATTCTACCAGCATTTAATTTTCATTCCGATTCTCGCCATTTAGTTTCAATACGAAAAGGAGCTCCCTGGTATTTGGACGTCTCCATAGAACTGAAATTTAATTCTTACCTCGGTGACAAAATGCCTGGGAGTTGATATTGCGCGGCCGATCTTCCAAAAGCTATTTTATGAACACGATCACAATAATGCTTTACCAGCGTTTGCCTCACATTTCATGGCTGAATGACTGTATAATTACACACACATTTGTCGTATCTTATTTATCTGAATTGCATAGAGAATATTATTAACTATATAATCTTTAGTTGTCTTTGTTCCCATTTAAGAGAAATTCTACGGTCAATGCCATGGTTATTCATCATTGCAGTCTGGAAATGTGGTCAACTCCTTCTTTTCTTCCAGAAAGTATCTCACTGTTTCTGCTATGCCATATATTTGCAATAGTCAGATTAAACCAAAAACCGAGTATCACCGCCATGTCGGGGCTGGAACTGTTCAATCCTCAGTATCTTGCCGTTATAGAATTTTAAAATTAAAAATTTAAAAATTTCTCTGAAATTCAACCACAGGATCCCTGAATTTAAACTGAAATATTTTTTTTATATACCTGTCCTTTGAGGGTGTAGGCAATCATGGCTCCCCACAACTTCCTATTACTTCTAGGGTTTAATAACTTTTGTCTTTTTGCCGTACCTCTAACCCACCTTATTCTGCTATTTATTCACATAAACTGGTTAAGTACGTGGGCCGCTACCTCTCCCTGTTCCTTTTGAATTTGATATGCCCTGTGAGTATCAATTTTTCCAAATACTCCTTCCTCATTATATTTTCATGGAACTTCATCTGTCGATTTTTGATTCTGAGTATGACTGTCCTTTTTGCTTTCATTTTCCTTAAGACTTATTTGTTTAGGCGCTCCATCCATGGTATTCTCAGCATCCTTCTGTAGAACCACATTTCTGTTGCTTCCAGTCTTCTATTCATTTATGAGAAAATTGCCCAGCATTCGCTGCCATATAGGAAGATTGTTATTACATAGTTATGTCCTTATAAATATACTATTGGGAAAATGTTTTTAAAATCACCATAAAAGCTACCATTTTAAAGCGAGTGTGTTGCATGCAAATTTTCAAAGGGATTCTCTTATGTCAGATATGCATATTAAGGGAATTAATAGACGCGTTAATAAACTACCATAGGCACGTGGTCGAATGGCTAGAAAGTTAGCTTCTTACCATGAGATCTGGGTTCGACTCTCATCAATGTCGATTTATCAGGAACGCGGTTGTTGATAATATCGACCCGGGAAAATATCCCTAGCTCTAGGTCCATTGACAAGTGCTTGTAATCTATTCAGCGGTTAACCCAATCTTTGTGGTTGAAATCGGAATGATTAATATAATCATAAACTGTTGATGGTTGTGCTAGCTCGAAGTCACAAGTCACTGTGACTGAGGGTTTGAGTGTGCTGATCTTATTCAACTACTGATCATGCCAAATGATGTATTCTTTCCTAGAAACTGTAAGATCTGCTCAACAATGCTGCAACACGAACTGTCTTTGCACAAAAGAAGAAACACCAATGTGACTAAGAAAACGTCTGAAAAAGTATTAGCTAGCCACCTTAGTATTATCTTATTAGTAGTATTATTATTAGTATTATTTTAGTCAACTACATCGTCTCACGAGACTAAGCGATGCATCCTACTAATAATGCTACATAATTTCTTCCAAAACATAGCCTTGTACTAGACTTAGCCGAATAAATGATTAGAAATGGAAAGTTTATCTAATCTATATTTAAACGGACCGTGATACATAACATCCGATCTAATCATATGATTGCTTGCATTTCTGATGATAATCAAACGCTTGACCAATGAACTGAATCAAACCTACTTCCTCACGAGGTAACATTAACCCATTTCCGACATCGAACGCTAATTCACTCTGAACTCGGACTGAGGCTGAAATATGATCTAATACCGCTTTGATAATGCCATAATGTCAAGTGTAATCGTGACTTTAACGAAATCCACAAGGGAAAAAATGTCAATATCACGTTTGAAAATGAGTCATATTGAAGAGAGAAAAATCCCCGTCCAGAAAAATAGAAAAAAATCTTTTAATGTCATGTCCCTTCCTGGCGTAGTTGTTCACTGCTCTCCATAGATTCATTTTCTTTATTATCTGCGAATTACTAAGTTTATTTTAGAAAGCGAGTGGAATGGTTGCCACTGACTATCTTTTTATTCGCCTGAAGACTAAACACAGGTTTGCGATTCTTGCGATATTATCACATTAAAATACCGGTTCTCGCAAGATCACCGGTTAAGTAACGTCGATCCTGGTTACTACCTATATCAGTGACCGTTTGGGAATACCAGATTAAGTAAGCTTGAATGTGCGTGGGGTATAATGGATAACGTCTCGGAATTGAAAATCGGAGAGCCGAGTTAAAATACTAGTCGGTGTTTTTATATTCACTTACGCGCAGATACCGTTGGAAAAGGTATGAACCCTATTTACATTATTCGGACTATTGTCCTCATCTTTGTCGCCATTTTTACCACAATGTTTTGGCCGTTGTACGCTACGGTCTTCTTCAGGTGGTTGGAATGTCGAACTGAACTCTTTATTTCGCTCACTGGAGTAGACTAGTTCCACGTGCCATGTTTAATGGATGTCAGTTATCTCCTCTTAATTCTCCTCTCCAAGTTCTCCACCGCCTTAACCAGGTTTTTGAATTCACACTCTTTTGGTCCTGTCACTGGATCTAACTAACGCCTTTATCCAATGTGCCATGTATCCTTGAGAACATCCGTATATGAATTTCTGGGTATTATAAACCTAATGTCTTCAGCAACCATTTTTTACCAGTGCTCATATTGCAATTTTTGCTGTTATCATTGCCTTTTTTTTACCAGAGCTCATAATGCAATTTTTGTTGTTGTTATCGCTTTTCTCTTGCACTCCTTATTACTGGTTCCCATATTGTATTCATTTCTATGTTTGGTCGGCTCAGGGGCACGTAGAAATAGTCAACTCCTAGAAGTAAGTCATGAGAATTCCACAATGAATCTCCAACTGCAGAATAACTACCAACCGGCCCACGCAGTCAGATGTGGCACAAGGCCGAATTTAATGTGAAGTATTCGAGCCCGCAGGCTCGGCCAAAAATTCCCCGTAGACCGTGTATAAAACGGGGTCTGGTAATGTTTCCTGAGACAAGAAACTCCCCTTCGAAATAACCTCCTATGGGGATCCTCAGTGCCCGGACTCAGAGAGTTTGACCATCACAGCTGGAGACGAATCTCCGACTGCAGACCAACATACAGTATTTACTACTGTATTAACGTCCGTAGGTATGCTACAACACATATATACACACACACACATATATATATATATATATATATATATATATATATATATATATATACTTGAAGATGGCAATAAATGATCTACTATATAGATCTATAGAAATGTAAGAAGACATTATGAGTAGCATACCTGGTGGCATATAAGACCCACAGATACATGTTCCCTCTTTTTATGCCAATTATACATTATCATCATTCATCATCATTATCATCAGTCCTGTGCCCAGGTTTGGTCACTGGAGCTAACTAACGCCTTTATCCACTTGATAGGACCCAAAGAATGTGAGTTCAATTCCCGGTTAAGGCAGTGGAGAACTTGGAGAGGGGAATTAACGG